TGTGATTAGCAAATGATATACTCACCAAAATGGCTAACTGCAAATACCTAAATGAGCAGTACCTGTGAACATCAATCTAAGACAGTGATGGCAAACCTTCTGAGCTTGGCGTGTCAGCATTTTGAAAAACCCTAACTTAACTCTGGTGCCATGTCACATATAGAAATATTTTGATATTTGCAACCATAGTAAAACAAAGACTTATATTTTTGGTATTTATTTTATATATTTAAGTGCCATTTAACAAAGAAAAATCAACCAAAAAATGAGTTCGCATGTCACCTCTGACACGCGTGTCATAGGTTCACCATCACTGATCTAAGGCAAACAATGTACAAATAAAATTGTATCATTAATACAAACATATGTTTTATAAATTAACATTAAGTAACAATTAAAATGTATGTATTTAAATTGTTAAAAAAAAATGGGGGAACATGGGGATGGGGAGTGTAATGGGGCACATCACAAACTGATAGATAATAAGTATCTTTCATTAACTGCTTCCTTTTTTGTGAACAAGAACCTAGACAGAAATAATTTCCTATCTGAAAGAGATTGAGTGGAGCCACCTGATGAAGACCAGAGATAAGCCATCTCCTTTCAGTCTCAAACAAATCCTCCTTTCCTCCCTTCCTCTCTCCCTCTCACTCTAGCTCTCTCCCTACACAAAGGCTGAAGTGTGTGTAATGCAAACACAGAGTATAATTTTAAATGAGTTATTAATTGCCCCCTTATTTCTAAAAAACAAGATATAAACTATATACAGGGTGTCCTCAAAAAATGTATACACACTTTAATAGCTGATAGCTCAATTCTGAAAATGAAATGTATTTTAATAAAAACTGCCTAATTATCCAAAGTGTGTGTATACATTTTTGGGGGGACACCCCATAGTTTATCATCTAAACTGGAATACTTCTAAGAGTAGAAGAGGTGACTATTCACAATTATGTCAGAAAAAGAGACATACAACAAGACTGACTAGGCAAATGGGAATAAGTGGGCACCCAATACCTGAATAACCCATCCCTCTCATGAACCAATCATTGGGAGTACACCCTTATTGTTAAATTACTGTTCACAAAACTGATTGGGCCCTAGCCAGTTTGCCTCACTGGTTACAGCGTCAGCCCACAGACTGAAGGGTCGTGGGTTTGATTCCAGTCAAGAGCATGTACCTCCGTTGCAGGCTCAATCCCAGCCCGAGTCAGGCCACATGGGGGAGGCAACCAATCAATGTGTATCTCTCACATCAATGTTCCTCTCTTTCTCTCTCCCTTTCCCTTCCACTCTCTCTAAAATATCAATGGAAAAAATATCATTGGGTGAGAACAAAAAAAAAACCACACTGATTGGTATGTCCATTTTATGCAAAACTGAATCTTAAGCAAAGTCTATCGCAAGGGAAAGTCATTAGCATTTTGTAGACCAGTTTAATAAACCATTCCTATTAATTAGCCAATGTATTTTCACAAAGTGTAAGATCTGTGTGGTATTTTGAAATTACATGTGCTTTAAATCATCTGGGGGAAAAATTTTTAAAAACAATAATTAAATTTTTTTGCCAGTTTCTTTAAAAAGTGAAATATCAAATAAAAGGAAAAGCAATCTCTTAATCCCTTAAAGACATTTATAACTCAAAGTTATTTTCTTGGGTAACCCAAAAATACTGTTGTTGTTCTACACAGAAATGTCCAAATTATTTTTTTTAGAAGTTGGAATCATCTAATTTAAAAAAATTAGTTTTCATCCCTAGCCAGGTGGTTCTGTTGGTTGGAGTGTCAGCCTGCACACCAAAAGGTTGTGAGTTTGATTCCTGTCAGGGCACATATCCAGCTGGCGGGTTCCATCTCCAGTCAGGATGCATGTGGAAGAGAACCGATTGATGTCTTTCCTCCCCTCCTTCCCTCCTTCCCTCCCCCGCTCCCTCACTGTCCCTCTAAAATCAATAGAAACATATCTTCAGGCGAGGATTTAAAAAAAATGTATTCAGGGCAACTTTTTTGGCTGATGCTGTTAGCAAGTTAACACGTTTGAAGAAAAAGTCCCCTCAGTAGGGACTGCTTTGAGTAATACACATTTTAATGATGTTAATTCTTCCAATCCATGAACAGGGTATATGCTTCCAATTGTTTGTATCTTCCTCTATTTCTTTCTTCAATGTCCTATAGTTTTCCAAGTACAGATATCTTATTTTTGTTGTTGTTGTTGCTGCAAAGGAAAATGGGATTCATTTCTTTCTGAGAGTTCATTATTGGTGTAGTAAAATGTTGTTAATTTTGTATCCTGCTACTTTGCCGAATTCATTTATTAAATCTAGTAGGTTTTTGGTGGAGTTTTTAGGGTTTTCTATGTATAATATTATGTTATCTGTGAATGAGAGTTTTATTTCCTTCTTTCCAATTTGGATGCCTTTTACTTTTTCTTGTCTGATTGCTATGGGTAGAATTTCCAATACTATGTTGAATAAGAGTGGTGAAAGCAGACACCCCTGTCTTGATCCTGGGACAAGATCAAGGACACACTGTTAGTTTTTGCCTATTAAGTATGATGTAGGCTGTAGGTATATCATATATGAGAAATGCTGATTCCTCTATTATTATGTTGATCCCTCTATTCCCACTTTGCTGAGAATTTTTATTAAAAATGGGTGCTGATTTTGTAGAATGCTTTTTCAGCATCTACTGATATGATCATGTGGTTTTTACCCTTCATTTTATTTATGTGATGTATCACATTTATTGATTTGTGAATACTGTACCAGCCTTGCCACCCCAAAATAAATCCCATTTGATCATAGTGTATGATCATTTTAATGTATTGATGGATCCAATTTGCTAATAATATCTTATGAGATTTTAGCATCTATGTTCATCAGGGATAAGAACAGTATGGAGTTTCCCAAAAAAATTAAAAATGGAACTTCCATTTGACTCAGTGATCCCACTTCTGTGAATATATCCTGAGGATCCCAAAACACCAATCAGAAAGAATATATGCACCCTATGTTCACAGCAGCAATATTTACAATAGCTAAGGTCTGGAAACAGCCCAAATGCCCATCAGTAGGCGAGTGGATTAAAAAAGCTATGGTACATTTACACAATGCAATACTATGCAACTGTGAAAAAAAAAAAAAAAGCAGGATCTATTACCCTTTGAGACAACATGGAGGGACCTGGAGAGTATTATGCTAAATGGAATAAGCCAATCAAAGAAAGATAAATATCACATGATCTCATTTATATGTGGAATCTAATGAACAAAATAAACTGACCAACAAAATAGATCCAGAGACATGGATGCATGGAACAGACTGACATATCTCAGAGGAAAAGGGGGTGGAGGGTGGGCAGGAAGAGATTAACCAAAGAACTTATATGCATATATACATAGCCCATGGACACAGACAATAGTGTGGTGAAGGCCTGGGGTGGGGTGGGGTCTGAAATGAGGGATATCTGTTAACATTGTCAACCATCTACATAAAAAGGCCTAAGTGGCTGTTACAGCAGAATGACCAGAACGACCGGTCGCTATGATGTGCACTGACCACCAGGGGGCAAACGCTCAACGCAGGAGCTGTCCCCTGGTGGTCAGTGTGTGCTCCCACAGGGGGAGTGCCGCTCAGCCAGAAGCCGGGCTCATGGCTGGCGAGCACAGCGGCGGTGGCAGGAGCCTCTCCTGCCTCCACCTCCATGGTAGCGCTATGGAGCAGCAAGCAGGCAGGTGGACATCCCCCAGGGGTCCCAGACTGTAAGAGGGTACAGGCCGGGCTGAGGGACCCCCCATCCCCTGCAAGAATTTCATGCATCGGGCTTCTAGTAAAAAATAAATTTAAAAAGTCCCCTCATATAAGTTAGAAAGAAACCTAATATGGTATCTGTATGTAGTAGTAAGTTGATGATAATAAACCAAGTCCTAAAACCAACCTGCCTATATTGTGGTCATTTCCTATTCAAAATACCTCTTAGGAGACTTAAGTTACGCAACTCTGATTCAGAAAATCAAATAAAAATTAGAACTTGGAGCTACTAATTTCAACTAATAGAATTTCATACAGGCACCCACAAAGACTGGCATATAATCTAAGTATATCATTCATTCAAGTTACATTTCAATGTCTACTATATACACACTACACAATTAACACTATCATAATTGGCTGGCCTGAATTTAAAATTTGCCAGTATTTTTTTTCAATCTAGCAGATTCACTTTCACTCCAAAAAGGGACTTTGTACCTACCTTAAATACTGATTCTCATCCCAAAAAAAACAAGACTCGACATTTAGGAAACAAAAATGACTCTGTAACAGTATGTGGTAGAATATTCTTACATTTATTTGTTACCACTTCATGTTTTGAATTGTTTTATAGCTAACTGTTGTACCCTCTATCAGAGGTGCTTAGAAACCTGCAATCTTAAAAAAAAAATTAATTTTCTGATTTCTCATTAAAAACTATCCCTCATTTCCTCCAATTTTTACATTAAAGATGAGTTCCTCATTTGTACTCTAAAGTTTAGAAAAAGCCATGATCAGGCAGTCAAGTGTCAGTCTCTGCAACAACCCCTTGGTTTACCTACTTTCACTAGGTAAAAACCAGATTACCTAAATGTACCTACCTGGTTTACTATATCTTTTTATTTTTTTATTATTTTTAATAAAAAAGATTGTATTTACTTAGAAGCATTCAGAATGTCAACAAAACAGCTGCAACTTTTTTTTTTGCAATTAGAGTGGTATTCAGTTAACAGAACAACAATTATTTCGTATAAGCTGCATCAGAGACAACTGAAGATGAAAAGCTACCATCCCCATATATAACTAATATGTGCTGTGCACAAACAAGAACCTGCTTTAAATTTTCATGCCAATTTACAACCCCCATATTGTACCAGGCAAGGCTAGTGGCTATTGAAAATACCACCAGGACAGGACTATCTAAAGACACATTCGGTAGTGTGTTAACAATACAAAAAAAGACACTGTACAGTTTAAAGACAAATCTTACACAGCCTTACATTTCAGTTTTTTTCTTTAAAAGGAGTGAGTTGTGTACAGGGGGGTTAAATGCTTTATAGACAAGAAAAAAAACTGCGCTAGAACCAATTTATTCATCATCATCATCTTCTTCATCATCTTCTTCATCTTCCTCCACCTCTTCCTCCTCATCATCTTCCTCATCTTCTTCCTCTTCCTTCTTTTTCTTGCTTTTTTCAGCCTTGACAACTCCCTTTTTGGCAGCATCAGGCTTTCCTTTAGCTCGGTATGCAGCAATATCCTTTTCATATTTCTCCTTCAGCTTAGCAGCCTTCTTTTCATAAGGCTGCTTGTCATCTGCAGCAGTGTTATTCCACATCTCTCCCAGCTTCTTTGCAATGTCACCATTTTAAAAGGCCGAAGGAGGCCTCTTGGGTGCATTGGGATCCTTGAATTTCTTTTTTGTTTCCCCTTTAGGAGGAATATAAGTTTTCATTTCTCTCTCATAACGAGCCTTGTCCGCCTTTGCCATGTCTTCAAATTTTCCTTTCTCCTTAGCAGACATGGTCTTCCACCTCTCTGAGCACTTCTTAGAAAACTCTGAGAAGTTGACTGAAGCATCTGGGTGCTTCTTCTTTTGTTCCTCCCAGCAAGTTTGCACAAAGAAAGCATACGATGACATTTTGCCTCTCGGCTTCTTAGGATCTCCTTTGCCTAGGTTTAATTACTTTCCCTCAGCGAGCACACAGTCACCCAGTGCCCGGCCGGCTCACACTTGCCCCGGCGCTGTCTCTATGGAGCTCAATGTACTGCAATGGCTGTGAGAGCGGGAGCCAGACGCGTTACTATATCTTTTTAAAAACAATACGATGGTTGTAGATTTCTCAAGTAAGGCTTCTTGAAAGAGTCAGGGTATATAGATTTTTCTAGATTTATTAAATAAGGCTTCTTGAAGAGTTGTCAAAACTCAATTCTAAATTATTAAAAAGGCAAACCAAAAAGGAGAAAACTAGCTGCTCCAAAATTGTAAAGGCTCAAAGATGGAATCATCACTTTAAGAAGTGAATTTTTAAAATTAGCCTTTTAGAGATACAATAGTCAATACATCCCTAATACCACCATAAAATAGACTGTCATACCGTGAACTTTCACAGACTACATTCTGAACTGTCACTATCATTAACAGAAAGAATGGAGGGAGGGGGGATAAGTAAAAATATAAGTTTTTATATAATGACATTAAATAAGCAGCACAATGAAACATAAATTCCTGAACTGAAAAAGGGGGAGGAAAGGAACTCTCTATATATTTAAACATAGCTACTTAAATTTGTGCTTTCTTGAGTTTATCCCACCACCACTTAGCCCATCACTACCACATTCCTTCTCCAAACCCAAAACACACACACACACACACACACACACACACACACACACAGTTTAAAAAATACAAAGCATATCATTATGTGTCAAAAAATAAATTTCACAAAAGCTTCATGATTTATCAAAAGCAAAAGACAACCCACTGCTAAGCTATGAGCTACTAATACCAATTCAGACCTAATACATACACTGAAATTTGAATAAAATCAGTCACTGATCTGGTATCTCCAATTTTTTTCTAACAAATATAATATTATAAACTCTGCAAACAAACTATAAAAAATAAATGAGCATGAAAAATCATGGATGAAACTTAAATTACTGTTAATATAAGAATGTTTAAAAAATCTGTCCATTTTAAAATAAAAGTACTTTGCCATATAAACTGTTAAAATAAATAGTTTTTACAAAACTGTTTTTCCCACCACAAAAGTCCTTTTTGAAAGCAAAAATGCAATACTATCCAGTACTTTGGAATTTCCTGCTATTTATGAAACAGCTTAGACAAAATGCCTTTTTATTAAGTTGCAAAAAGATCCATGAAAACTCCAAAGAAACTGCTCTGACAAGTTCCAATAAGGAACGTCATTTGAGCAATTTGCTCATACGCTAAACAGCACTAGTCAAACTACCTTCTGGGCTTTGGTTTTAATCAAGCTTGTTAGTTAAGCTGGAGCTGACATCTTTTACATGACTCACCTAAATAAAATCTATATTAAATTAAGGATCCAAAAGATTGTCATTTACCTACTACCATCCAGTAGATTACAATGTTCTATGCATCATATTAAATTTTACACACACACACACCTATCTGCAGAAATATATATACATAGATTAATGGTTGTAGCTCCAAGCCACTTTTCGAATATCTACCATAACCTCTAACTGCAGATACCATATGGTATAATTACTACACTGTGATATAGTTCAATATACTTGACACTCAGTCAATATTCTTTCCCCAAGACATTCTGATTATTTCCTAAATTTTTGTTTTCACCCTAAGTAATAAAATATTCTTGGATCGGTAACAGCAAACTGGCTGTTATCCGCAATGTAAGTTTCTCATTTTAAGATATAAAAATTTAAATAAACTCTATAACATCTGCCTCCTATATTCTATTAGAATGGCAACTCACCTTTCACTAATCCCTCACCTTACACTTTTTGAAAAATTTTATTTTCAGTTACAAGCGACATTCAATATTATATTAGTTTCGCGGGTCAGCATAGTGGTTACACATTTATATAACTTACAAAGTGATCCCCCTGATACTTCCCACCTGACACCATAGAGAGTTATTAAAATATTATTGACTATATTCCTTATGCTGTACTTTACATCCTCGTGACTATTTTGTAACTGCCAATTTGTACTTCTTAATCCCCTTACCTTTTTCACCCAACCTCCCAATTCCCCTCCCATCTGGTAACTATCAAAATGTTCTCTATTTATGTTTGTTTCTGTTTTGTTTGTTCGTGTATTTTAATCTTTCAATTCCACATATGTTAGATCATACAGTATTTGTCCTTCTCTGTCTGACTTACTTCACTGAGCATAACATCCTCTGAGCATAACACCCTCTATATCCATCCATATTGTTGCAAATGGTAAGATTCCATTTTTTATGGCTGAGTAATATTCCATTGTGTGTGTATATATATATATATATATATATATGCATCTTTATCCAATGGTATATCAAAGGACACTTAAATTGCTTCATATCTTGGCTATTACAATTAATGCTGCAATTGAACACAAGGGTGCACATATCTTTGGATAAATGCTCAGAAGTGGGATTTCTGGGTCATATGGTAGTTCAACTTTTAATTATTTGAAGAACCTCCATACTGTTTTTCATAATGACTACACCAATTTGCAATCTCACCAACAGAGTACAATGGTTCCCTTTTCTCTACATCCTCACCAACACTTACTGTTTACTAATTTATTGATGATAGCCATTTTGACAGTTGTAAAATATCTCATTGTGGTTTTAATTTGCATTTCTCTAATTAGTAATGCTGAGCATCTTTTATGTCTATTGGCCATCTGTAAGTCCTCTTTGGAGAAATGTCTATCCGGGTGTCTTCTTCCCACTTTTTAATCGTATTGTGTGTTTTTCACCTTATACTTTCTTATTTCACAAAATTGAATTCAGCAGAATTCACCTAATAGTTACATTAAAGTGAGGGGGGGAGAAATCAATTTGATTCTATTTCTAGTTATTTTGGCCAATTATTTTGTGCTATCTTAAGAAGGACATCAGATTAATGCACTAACTAAATGTTTTCCTGACACCCAAAGATCTAAATACGTTACACCACTATTCATTGAATAAGCCTAACAATTATCATCCCTATTTCTATTCATATTTAGTGTAGTCCACAGTACACCAAACATCATCCCTAACCTACACTCAGCTTTCCTGTGTACCGCTATGGAAAGAATATAAATACTGTTATTCTTACCAAAGTCCCTTCCAAAGATACAGATTCACAATGTGACATTCTTTTTACTTCTTTCCAAAATTACTCAAGAACAAATACAACATATTTTTTCTTTGTGAGTACAACTGATAATCAAGTTTACACGTGCATCCAAAAGTTTGAAACCCAATTTGCAAACACAACCCACATAAATACTGGCTCTAAGGTATATAAAATCTAGACCCAAATACTGATATTTCAACCAAAACCTAGCTGCTTCCTACGAGAATAGTGGGCTTTTTTATTCCTACATATTCCTATAGCACTAACTAAACCTAAACACAGACAACTTTGTTAGCAAAGGGAACACTGATAACTGCATAAAAATAAATACATGTTTTGTTAAATGTCTGATGACACCTATAACTATATGAACCAATTGAAACTCCACACTTCAACAGCAATGGCAATTTTAAAGATGCCCAAGGCACATTAAATCAATCGGGCAAATTTCACACCTCTTGGTGCTGCCACAAAACCAAAATTACTGAGCTGGATGTAAGTCTGACCTGATAAGGCAATTCTTAAATCTTTCTTCCATCCAAAATAGCTATAGTAGTATAATACTATCAAAAATGAGTCCCACATATGTAATACTTTCAACAATTTTTTTTTAATGAATCCCTTCTTTAAAAAGCCAAAAGACAAATAAAAACATGCACATCCATTTAGTAAAAGTAGAGGTAAGTAGAATATCACAGTAGAATGTCTGAAAATTAGTCTGATACCTGAAAAATCAGGTTTTTGAAACTTGCCAGCAGTCCCACAATGCATTGGCCCTGTGCCATCATGGCCTGGTGCCAGCCTAATGTGGAGCCAAGCTAAAAATAGCAGCCAAGCAGCAGAATACATAGGTCCTTGTGACCTCAGCTTTATTTCCCTAAATCAAGGGAGGTTGGAGGGGAGGAGACAATTACAGGGAAAGAAAGGAGTGGAGTACATTCTCATCGTTGGTACTTCCTACCTCTTCCAATTTCTTGCCTTTTTCCCCTATCACTCCCTCCTACTTCTCTCTCCTCCTACTCCATTCCCCCATTCCAAAAAAGGAAGGGAGAGAATAAGGGTAGTAAGGGAAGGAGACAAGGAAGGAGGGGAGAAGCTGAAGCTCTGAGGCTACTCCATCTCCTGACTTCAAGTCTCACTTGATTCCACCATCATCACAAAGCAGACATTGGTCACTTCAGTCCTCAGCTTTACTGCAGGTCTGGAGAAAGTATAGAAAGTATAAGACAAAAGTTACACAGGTGATAATTGGGGGAGGGAAGGAAGAGAAAACTAGTAATGTTGGCAAGAGTACAAAATCTTAAGTGCTAAGAAAGCTTAAAGAATGCTAAAGAAACAGGACATTTTAAAAAGTCCTTACTCAAATACAACAATCAATTATAAACTTCTGTTACCTGAATTTTAAATGTTTATTTTATGACAAATACTTATAAAATTCATGACCACCATCTTTGTAGAAATGAGTTCATATAAAGCAGTAGCAGGATGCAAAGGTTCCACAATAACAAATTCAGTATGCTACCTTTG